TTGGGGCTTGCAAACTTGAGTGGCTTTTGGATAGGTGCAGCTATTTAAGAGGTCCTCCAAGCTTAAGAAGCACCCTTTTGGGGTTTGATTGGTATCCAGGACTCAGATGTCCATTTAATTCTAGCTCCCATAAAGTGAAGGGACTTGGGGGGGGGGGGGGGAAATGCAGCATGCCTGGAGCTGGGGTCACTTACCATCTGATGGTGGTGATGGCTGTTGGGAATGTTAGTTTCTTGAAAAAATGCGCTCAAAGCAGTCTGTAAAAAACAACGGTGGAGTTAATGTCTAGCCCTGAAAAGGGGTGGGAGATCCAAAGATGCACATAGCAGAAAGGTGCCAGGGACTGAGAGTCAAGATGTGTCATTTCAAAGAAGAAAAAAAAAAAAAAGTGATTGCATTTCTTTTAACTCCCCTTAACTGCATTTCCACTCTTAGCAAACAATGCGGGACTAACAAACGGGATTGATCTGCCTGTTTGCATTTCTCAGCCCCTGCCCTGGCCTGCCTTTGAAATGCTAATTCTCTCCCCTCCTAAAGGAGGCTCCAAAGGAATCCAAAACAAGAAGGCATCTGGGGTTGGGCTCAACTCTCTCCCACTCCTGCCCGAGCTCAAAGCCAGGCACAATCCTGGAGAGAGAGCAGCACTTGAGCAGCCTAGAGCCCAGGCTGGTGTGACAACAATCAGGTTAGGAAAAGGGGGCACCGTGGGAAAAGCTTTTCCCAAGGAACATACAAGAGATGGGGGGGGGGCAGCTGAAATGAAGCTTTCCACCAAGAGATCAGCAGGACCAAGCCCCATGGCCAACCTTCCCTCTTGCTCCCACCAGTTTTAACTTGCCCCCCATCCCTTTCCTCACCAGCGTCTTTACCCACGTGAAAGAACCAGGGCAAGCGAAGGGCTGGAGTGGACTTGGCTTTTCATCCTCACCCCCCCCCTTTAAAGGGGCTCCCCCACACTCTCCTCTCCCCTTCCACGCTGCGTGGGTGGCAGCTGCAAAACCTTCTCCCTGCCACACTGCAATTTCTCTCGCTTCTGCAGAAAGGTTGCACCCCTCATATCCCTCTTCCCCCCCCAGCAAAGTGTGTGTGTGTGGGGGGGGGGCTCTAAGGAAACAGACCAGGGCTGCTTCTCTCCCAGCACTGCACGGCCCAGGCTGGCCTACGGCTCTGGTTACAGCGCCGGGTATAAATAGACCCTAGAGATCTGCAATCCCATGGCTCCTTCCCCCTCTTGGATCTGACAGAAATATCATTTATCCCCCCCCTTCCCTACAACAGACATGACGTGCCAGGCCCCGCGCCCTCCCCGCTGCTTGCTGCAATAGGCGACGAGGCTCAGAGCCGAGTAATGATTGTTTATGTGCAGCTCCGGGGCTTCCCATTCAGCGCCGGCGGCCCCGTGCTGCGTGGCCCGGCGCCGATCCGGCTTGTTGTTGTTGTGGGAGGCCATCCACACACGCCGCCCGCCCGATCCACCCCCGCCGCCGCCGCCAGCGCCGACACGGTCTTTTTGGGGGGTCGGGGGGGGTGGATCCAACAGCGGCGACACAGAAAGGACTTAAGAGCAGGCGGAGGGAAATCATAAGCGATTAGACGGGCCAAAATCAGACACCCCCCCAGCCACACGCACCTCGAACTGCCAGTGTGCCGCCTGCAGCAGCTGCTTCGCCTGATCCGCCGCGCAGCCCGCGGCCACCACGAACTGGTTGATCATGACCTGGTGCCTCAGCTCCTCCATATTCACGGACATGGCGAGACACGGAACCACAACAAGGATGGTGGGAGGGAGGGGGGGCACACACGGCGGCAGCGATGGTGTGTGTGTGTGTGTGTGTGTAAAGAAGGGGGGGGCGGCGAGATCCACAAAGAATCCTTGCTTCTCCTTCCCCGAGGCTCCCCCGCTGCCCTGGGCTGGCTCGAGCCGCCTCTCCGCCTTCCCCCGGCTTGGATCGGCAGCGAGGGAGCGGATGTTGTTGTCCCCCAGCCCCTCCGGCTCCTCGAGCACCACAAACAACAGCAGCTAGGGGAGGAGCATGCGGGTGAAGCAGGGGGGGAAGGCTGGAGGTGTCTCAACGTTCCATTCCCCGCGTTCCGAGGCCGCTGATTGGCCGCCGCCGCTTCTCCACTTGTCCGAACGTTCGATTCGAATCTTCCAGCGTCCTGAACCGTGGCTGGGTCCCCAGCGCCCTTCCCCCTCCGCCGCGCCTGATTGGAGCCCTCGGACCGCCCTCCCATTGGCCGGCTGCTGTGTTTTGGATGGGGGGGAGGCTGCCCATTGGCTGCTGCCTGTGCAGGGGCGGGGGGAGGCTGTGTGCTGGGTCGGGCGGAGCTGGGCGGGCAGCGCGGCGTGGTGGTTGGCTGCTGGCCCCCTTCTGTTTCTCTCTGGTTATGAAAAAAAAAAAACAACCGCACGCACGCACACACACACACACGGGGGGGGAGGGGCGTGTTGTAAAGCCAAGTTCATTCAGGAGCTTCATTGAAACCAACGTGCTCAGCTGGAAAAGCGGGGCCCAGCAGCGGCTCTGACTCATTTCCTCTCCCAGGCCTCGGTCATCCTGAGAAGCGAGAGGATCACAATAGACGGCAGCTCCGAGCCGCTGCTGAAGCTTCCGACTCTCGCAGGCTCTGGCAGGCCTGGGAAAGGGCTTTGTTGTTTCTTTCGGTGCGAGCTCACAAAGCCTCTTTTATGTTGGCCGGGGAGGGGGGGCACCGCTGACAGCTTCCTCCCTGGAAAAGTACAGTGTAAACAGCTGGGCTGGCCTGGGAGGGCACGGGCGCTCCTGCAGCAGCTCTTGCCATGGTGGGTGGCGTGGGCATGGCTCGGATCCAGTTAGCCTGTGATTTCTCCCCTCCCTGCGTGGCGGGGCTGGTTGTGCAAGTGAAAGCAGGATGCAAACTGGCTATCAACGTTTTCCAGCAATAACTTTGGAACTGGTTGGGCCTTTTTAAGGTGCCGTAATAGGCCCCTGCTAGCGTTAGATTTATTACTACGCTGGTCACTGGTGAACCACGCAGTAAATTTAGACCGGCCACATGCAAAGTAATTATCACACAATTAACAGGTGAATTGTGCAATATATTTCGAAGTGCGAAGTAATGACTGGATAAAAATGACTCTCCAGCTATAGCAAGAGCCAACCAGCTGTTAAGTTAGGGCTTGGAAATGTGTAACAGCTCAAGAGCTGGTTTCTAGCCGGGTGTAGTTTGAACCTTAGTCTGATGCCTTCCCCCCTGCAATTACAGCACTGAACTGGGAGCACAGTGCAAATTAAAGCAGGCTAGAAACCAGCTATAAAGTTATTACACACTTTCCAGCAATAACTTTAGAGCTGGTTTGACCTCTTAAATAGGCCCCTGCTACACATTACATTTATTATGCAATTCACAGGTCAGTCATGTAATAAATGTAGACCAGTCAAACATACAGAGTAATTATCACAGCTATAAAAGAGCCAACCAGCTATAAAGTTAGCACTTGAAAATGTGTAACAGCTCTAGACCTGGTTTCTGTCCAGCTTTCATTTGAAGTGTGTGTGTGTGTGTGTGTGTGTGTGTGTGTGTGTGTGTACGCCCCCTCCCCCCATGTTACAGTGCTGAATAGGTTTGAGATGCAACAAATCAAGACCATTTCAGACTGGCCATAAGGAAGAATTTCTTTACTGTCCGAGCCCCCAAGGTCTGGAACAGCCTGCCGCCGGAGGTGGTTCAAGCCCCCGCTTTGAACGCCTTCAAGAGACATTTGGGTGCTTACCTTGCTGGGATCCTATGACCCCAGCTGACTTCCTGCCCCTGGGACAGGGGGCTGGACTCGATGATCTTCTGAGGTCCCTTCCAGCCCTAATGTCTATGATATCTATGAAATCCCCAATCCTAGCAGTTGTATGGGTGGGATTCTTTCTTGGCTGCATGGGCATAACTACCTGGGAGGAGATCAGGACCCCAGGTCTCTGGCATTGATTCCCGGCTCAGCCCCAACCTTGAGCACTCTATGCCTCAGTTTCCCCATCAGCAAAATGTAACCAGTGTTACTTCCCTACCTTGCAGTCTTAACATTTGTGAAGAGCTCAGCAGGAGGATGCAAAGGGCCGTAGAGAAGGCTGCAAGCAAAATGTCAGCTGATCATGTCAACAGACTTTACAGGCATGAAGGAATGAAAAGTCCCGCCCTGGCCATGTTACCAGCGGGGAGCTGGGGTAGAGAGGCCAAGTATTTTAGGCCCAGTTTGCAGGAATCCCTGGCTCCAATCTCTTGCTTAGTCCCTGTTGTCTCTGGGGCTGAATTTGAGTGAGGACCAGCCCTTTCTTCTTTCAGTCCCCCTGTCCCACCTCCACAAGTGAAGGTGACCTGCAGAGACTTTCCACCTGCCAAGACCTGAGCTGAGGGCTCTGTTTTGCCTGCAGGAGCTGATCATGTTGATATTAATTTAAACAGTGTCTGAAGCTGCTCACTGGGGCAAATTGTGCTTCTGTCTGGTCAGTGAGTGCATCCAAGGTATTGTTGCTGGACTAGGAGTAGGTCCAGGTCTCACTGGGCACTTCCTCAATGGTGAGATTCAGGCAAAGGGTGGTCTCAAGACAGGGCAAGGCAGAGCTCTCAGGTGGGTGACTCTGTTGCTCCATCATGTTTCTTATGGGGTTCAGCAGAAGGCAAAGCTGTGGCCTCAATAGCCATGTCGCTACCTCGTGGTCTTCTTCTCCCACAGAGACCCAGCTGCTCAGATTCTGTGTGGGCAATACGACTTCTCCCTCCAGCCTGCTGTTAGGCCATAGTGATAGCAATGTCTGAGGGGAAAACAGACCTCTGGACCCCATGATTGGCTTCCCTCCTCATCTCTGTAGTCCCCTACACGGCACCAGTCCCACTGTCCTCAAGGACTTACCTGTTTTCTGCTACTCAAGCACTTTTATACACATACTCTGTACCCTCTGTGACATAAGCAGCGGGTTATCACTCCCTCCTCCCAGCCCTACCTTTAAATCCCTTTCTCGTGATGTTCCTTCAGCTAACTAAAGCAACCACGTTTGACAGAACAAAATCTAGGACAGAGGCCTGGATGCTCCACTGAGACTAATTTAAATCGACTGCAACTGGCCTGCTTTGAAAGCCTGGCCTTAACCTGAATGTCACCTAATGTTGATCCAGGAGCACTTTCTCCTCCTCAAACTCAAGACAAAAGTCCTGCTGCAGCATATCCTTAGGGACCCCAAGCCACAGCCCTGAAATTTGGGCTGGTCCCAGAAAATCCAGGGCAGTTGGTGGCTTTAATTCCAAATATGTGCCCATGAGAGAAAATCCATTACAAATGGAACTGAGGAGCGCTGCATTGTGCACTGTCATAGCCTCATTTCTTGTCGTCTCTCTGTGCCTTTTGCACTGCAGTCTCTCTGCTCTTCTCAGCCTACAGCCCAGCCTTGCTTGTGCTGGGATAGTTTCTCAGGTGATGTAAATTGGAGTAGCTGTGTTGCAGACATCAGAGCTACACAAATTCCACCTGCTGAGAACCAGGCTCTGGGTGTTATTGCCAAGTGGGGTGCTTTTTTTGCTTGTAAGCAAATAAGTAGATGGGCTTTTGGACTCCTGGGAAGGGGGGGAGTGTAAGTGTTTTAGCCTTTGGAGTCTGAGCCAGCTCCCACTGAAGTGCATGCGAGCATTGCCAGTGATCTCAGTGGGGACAGCATATGGGTCCTGAATCTGCAAGATGCTCAGTGCCAGCTGCTGCTGCAAACTTATGGACCCCCATGGAAGTCAGTGAGTCTGCATGCCAGAACGAAGGGTCCTGCGCTTCTCGTTACAGTTCATGGCTCTGATCTTGCAAGCCCTTGAGGAAAGGAACCGTGCCTTCTAGCATGCAGGTGGGGTTCCCCGCAGACCATTGGAGCCAGCATAGGAAAGGCGAATGCCACCAGGTAATCTGGACGAGGAGGAACTGAATATGGAGTGTCATTAGTGCGATAGCTGCTGTTGTATAGGTCTTTAGATAAGATTTTAATAGATGACTCATTTTACAAATTTCTTTTTCCTGAATTTTCCTTACTCATCCTGCCTGATTTCAACACCATTCCCACTACACACCCCTAAACTTTAAAACCAGCTGCCTGGGAGGGGCAGTGGCATTTCTCCTCCCACAGTGCTGGGGGAGTCAATTGACTTCTTGGCTCATTGTTATCTCTTTGATTCCTGCTAATCTCTCTCCGCTCCACAGGTGTTAATGGGCCTTTCTCCTTTTAAATGGTCTTGATGTTCCACTACTCAAACTATCCTTTCTTCTGCAATTTTGCTGTCTCTTAGCCATTCCTGGCAATGTCTCTCTTCTGTTTCACAGCCCTGCAGACTGCTTTTAGCTCTAGCTAAAAACCTTAACTCAGGTGTCCTAATATTAACTCAGGTATATAAGTGACTGACAGTGAAGGATTGGAGGCCCTGTCAAGATGCTTGAGAAGGGTAGATTTTGCTTGACAAAGCTGAATAAGGGATGCACATTTAACAATAATGACTTTAGAATAAATGCCGCAATATCCTTTGACTCTTTTGAATATTTTTTGCCAAGTTTGTTGCATTTTTTAAAACTTAATATATAATCTAGCAAGTGAGTACACATTCCAATAGTTATTTTTTTGTTTTTGCTTCTATCTTAAACTGAATAGTAATGTGCTAGCCCCCTAGCATATTAGTAAGGCTTCTAGTATGTCTTTAACTCAAGCACGACACATATGTTTCTCCATGTGATGATGTGCCACACCATCTGCAACTCCCTTTTCAAAATCCTAGATCTGCCCCCCTGACTTGCTATCATTATAAATACATGTATCTAATCAGCTTGATGCTCTCAGAGACGTCACAATCCAATTAGTGATATTATAGCTCCGTGCAATGGACAGGCACCAGAGGAATCCTGAGGCCAGAGAGCAGAAAGCTGACCCCCCCGCCCCCAGCAAAGCCAGGCAAAGAAAATTGACAAGAGATGATAGATGGATTTAAAAGACACAGTCAAACCTCAAGTTGTTTGCTCTCTTTTATGATGTTTAAAATGCGTTTGACTCACTGTTTGTACTAACCAGTGGGAAATTCGCAACACAGATCTCTTTTCCTGACCCAGTTTTTCTTGTCTCCAGCTGCCATACACTGACTTCTGGAAGGCTGCTCATCA